TAAAAAGGCAGGGAATCGCTGCCTCGTGGAGTTATTTATTTGGAGTAAGGCTCCGCTCAGCGTGGAGGTGGGAGCGGGCAGAACCGGGCTGTCGTGTGCAGCGGTGCCAAGAGCGGCGTTTCGCGACGAGGATTTCAGTACGGCCGGACCCGCTCCTAGCAAAGCAAATAGCGGGGTTTATTTATTCATGACTTCCTCTGTAATCCTGACCACAGCCACTGCCGAGCGCGTGGACGGGGCCGGATTCGAGCCAGGGCTGCTTATCGGAGCGGGGAGGTTCCCACCCACCATGGGGCAACTCCGCGTCGCGCCAAACCTCACTGAAGGGTGATGGACGCGGCCCCGATTCCGCCCTCCTCGGGGCAGGATGGGCACCGATGGAGCCGAGCGCTCGGAGCACTGGCTCCTCCCGGGATTTCGTGGGATCCCGCTCTGCTTTGTGCAGCTCGCTGGACCGGGCTGATGAAGGACCCGAGCGTGGCCTCGCGGGGGTTTCGTACCCGTCAGCGATGGAGGCTGTTAGGGATGGAGGCTGTTAGGGATGGAGGCTGTTAGGAGCCGCAAATAATCCCGGTGGCGTGGTCGCGCTGGGAGGAATTACCGGTTAATTAACATATTAATAAAAGCGCAGCGGCCCCGGTGAGCCCCGGAGCAGCCCCCTCGCCTCGCCCGGCTGCTGCGGATGCGGGCAATGCTCTGCCCGGCCGGGCACTCCAGCAAGCTCAGCAAAGGAGAGCCGTTTTTTTAAATTATTATTTATTTATTTTATTTTCGGGGGAGAAAATGAGATGCCACCAGCAGAATTACGGTGTGAGGACGTAAATGGCCCTTTTCTCTCCGTAGCACGTTTGATTCTGGTCACGTCCGTGCGGAACACACGCTCTGCCCGTGCAGATGCTCGCAGCTATCTGAAGAAGTTTCCGTGGTGGTGGGGGGGACGGGGGGAGCCCTACGGGGTTTCCTCTGTCACTTCAAATCCTTTTGACCCTCCCGGGACTGTGGCATTCTTTGCATTCTGAATTTCTCCATCTCTCCCCCATTCATTCCGGGGGGGAGGATTAGCATGTAAGCGAGAGGGCTGGTTTCAGAGCGGGCTCCCCCCGTTTGCCTCCTGCAGCCCCCCACAACACCCTGCGGTGTTAGGGGTTGGGGTGGCTCCTTTTTCCCATTCCACCCAGTTTGCGTCTGTCGTAGCAGCCAAACTCGGTGTTTCGGAGCCTTCCCGGTGGCCGAGCTGGGGGGAGCCCTGAAAATCCTGGGGTCTGTGCTTCATTTTGGCTGCTAGAGGGGAGAGCGGCCCCGGATCTGGCCACCCCATCCCGCCGGCCGGAATCCTCGGGAAACCTTTGGTGGCTTTGGGAAACATCAGCTCCAGTTTTGTTTGAAGCCAGCGGGCCCGGCCGGCCCGTTTGGGGATTTTGCTGTGCGTGGGTTTGGATCGGCAGCGTGGGTCAGAGCGGGGGCTCGAGGCAGGGGCTGCGGAGGGATCCTCACCCAAATCCCACCGCTCGCTTTGGGCTGGTTCGCGCTGAGACAATTTCTTCTCATTGACAAACGAGCTGCGCCACCTTCGGAAGCGGCGTAATCCAAAAGTGAGGATCTGGAATCTCATTTTCTTTCCTGTTTTTGGATTATTTTGCGTGTTCATAAACACTTGGAATTCGGAGCCTGGCTCTGTGATGAGCAGGTCCCGGGGGGTTTGCTCGACGGGGCGCTGTGCGCTCTGAGCTGCCCGCCGTGGCCGCGGCCGTTCTCTCCCTTTTCCTTAGGCATCCTAAAATCCGGTGGGGTTGGTTATTCCTGGGAAACAGAGGCCCACGGGGGGGACCAGCCATCCCGGGGAGGTTGGCACTGTTTGCATAAGGGTTGCATCCACAAAGCTGCACCCTTCGAAGTGTTGGGCACCCAGGGGTGTCACTGCCTTTAGGTGGGGGCTCTTGGGGTGTCCGGCAGCGCCTCGGGGTGCTGGCAGGCGCCGCCGCGGTGG